CCCTGAATCACCCTTCACGGTGATTGTACAGGCAAAGGGTAAACAAACTAAATCATTCAAGTTTTACTAACATCAATCAAACTAGGGGTTAAAACCCCAGTGTCCAGCACCATAAAAAACTCATGGGAAAGTTAACTACAAGTCTAAAAAATAAACATTAGGAGTTTATACTACAACTAGCTAACTATGCTAATCTAGTCTAACTCGTGCTCTCTCACGAACTGGGTCCACCTGAAAGGGGCAAACAAACAATAAGTAGAAAACAAACTCGTTAGCACGAAGCTAAGTATAACGTCACTCAACCCTGTAAAGTACATATATACTTTTTGGAAAACATTTGTTTCACATACTTAGATCAAGTGTTCTCAATCACTCAAGCAGCAATTAAACATGCTCAACAGGGTTTCTATATGCTTGCAACCTAATTATCAAATAAGCAATCTTTCTCAATTAATCAACTTATCAACAATCTCATGCTTTCATATGCTTGACTTAACAATAGTATCATAACATCATATATCTCAGTAAGCAATCTCATGCCAACATATAACTCATTAAGCAATCTCATGCTAACACATACTCAATAAGCAATCTCGTGCTATCATAGACTCAACATGCAATCTCATGCTATCACATAATTCAATAAGCAATCTCGTGCTATCACATATTCAATATGCAATCTCATGCTATCACATAGCTCAATAAGCAATCTCGTGTTATCCTATACTCAGTATGCAATCTCATTCAATCATTTAATCTCTAAGCAATCTCATGCTATCATATATGAATAGAAGACAATATAATGTCATGCTTCTTATCTCACTTTCATGCAACACGTGCAAATCATTTAATCATGCAATAAGATGAACATGATGCTTTAGTATAAGTATAGGTAGATATACATATACACTCTTTTGTAAAAAGAATATTTTTCTGTGGAGGTTTCTTAGAGTCACAATGACTCGTTTTTCTCTTCTTTTCTAGAGTCCCAATGACTCGCTTTCTTTAGAGTCGCAATGACTCGCTTTCTTATACTCGTGGGCGAGGTAGGACTTCACCATAATGTGAATGGACCTATCTGGGCTCGGCATCTAGCCGGCCTAATACTCATCTCGGCCACCGAACCACTCTCTTGGTTCTTTTCTCAAACTCTATAGAATCAGGTATCGAACTATCAGTGTGCACACCCCCTGACCAGGATTCCAAGCCTGGCGGGCAGTTTCCAACCTAGTAACTCGGAAATATCGACCTCGTTACTTCATATCGGATCGCAATGTCCGTTTCTTTCTTTACTTTCTCTTTTCACTGTTTTGTCAGTTCTATCCGATCTTATCTCTTTTCTTCCAAAAGGACATAGTCCTAACGGGCCTCCAAAACCTCGGATTACTCACACTAAATACATATAGGTATAGCTCATGCCTATAGATGATGATTTTCCAAGATAGATATAATTTTTTGAAAATAATACTTAGGCTCACACTGGCCACTTATGCATTTTAAAACATGGTATGCTCAAATATGCACTTTACTGTAGAATACGCTTCAATTCTCTTTGTACCGTGAACTTACAACAAGTACCAACATCATACTTAAATCACATTTCTTAGCAATTCTTCTTAGCATACACTTAGCAAGTATTGTACATGCACTTGAACTCAAAATACTCAACATAATATTATTCCCTGTAATCTAGCATTCAAGAAATCATGCTCTATACACTTCTAAACATTTAATATTCTTGACAAAATTCTAAACAAGTCATAATAGACATCTAGGCATGCTTTGCTAGCATAACATATCAAATAGTGATCATATTTCTTAATCTAACAATCATATAATTGTCATCCTTCTCAAACATATAGAAAAGACCAAACTCTTAACATTTTCATTCACTATAAAATACTCCCAGACAACTTCTATAGCTTATTTCTTCACAAATTCTATCACAAAATACTCATTTCTCCCCCGAATTCAATGAAATCAAATTCTACTCGTGCGTCATGACGATCCCGGGTGTCCGAGCCTCAAGGGCCCGCGAGTCCCGGTGCAAAACGACACGTAGCTGAGCCACAAGGGCTCGGCCACTGCACAGCTTTTGCCTAGCGGGGCTTGTGGCGGGGCTTGAGGAGCCCCGTCGCCTGGAGCCGCCAAGTGGTGGCCTAGGGCCACGGCTCTAGCCTGGAGCCGTGCCCTAGGGCCGCTCCTCTACGGGGCTTGCTAACGGCACCTCCCTAGGGCCGTCGACTAGTCTCGTGTCTCATTTGGTGCACACCATTTTGTGCACCAGTGAGATTCTTCTTCACATGTAACTCAAAAACAGGCAACCAAACACTCCCAAATCATCAACAACACATCATAGATCAACAATAGATCACTTACTAGCTCAAACACATCATTATTCTAGTATTTCTACTAATTTCAAACACTAAAAATAGACTTCACAGAGTCTAAAGAACTTTTGGGAGTCCATGGGGTTATACCTTTGTAGATTCCTCCTCTTTGGCTGGGATTCCACCTTCTTCCATAGCTAGATACACCATCCTTCACCTCCTAAACATCTCAAACAAACCGCACAACCATCTTAATACTAAGCTCTCAGAGAGATAGGATAGAAGGAAATGCAGAGAAGGGATGGAAGGCTAGACTTAGATGAAAACTTACTGTGCTTTTTTCTTGTTCTTGCGAGCTAAATGTTTGGGAAGCAAAGAGTGGAATCAGGAAGAAATGAGAGTCTACTATTCCTTTTATATGGGTTCAAAACCCTTGAAGGATCTCTCATGATTGGTGGATGACAAAAGAGTAAATTGATGATTATTCTAAAAAGATCAGACAAGATTTTTGGAGTAGAGTGGTTCACCATGCTTCATGAACCATGTTCTAAAATCAAGGTTTAAAATAGTTTGGGGTTGAAAATGAATTTCCCAAAAATGATTTCTAGATGAACACTTGATTTTGGCTTCTCAGATTTCTCCGGGTTTCACTCAGAACGATTTTTCAGTTCAAAACTTGGTACGCAATGTACCCAAAAATTTAGGATTTTAGATTTAAATCATGTCTCGGTGTTGAATTTATTTAAAAGTGACTCAAAATAATTTATTCAAACATCGATTTCATCGTAAAAATTTTTATAGAGTGAAAAATGACTATTTTGAAATTTCTTAAAACCGAATTTATAAAATTAAATTTTGGGTTGTCACACATATTATCCACATCATATTTTTCGCTCAAACCCTTCTTCCGTTTCTTTACGTTTTTTAGGCTAATATAATTCACTTTAAAAATGATATAGGATGTGAACATCATTAAATATTGTTCACACCTTCACCATTTAATGTTGCTCCAGAGACAAATCTCTCTTCGTAACAACATGTCAACATGCTTCTCTTCCTTCCAACCCATAATCTCCCTTCTTTCTCCTCACATTGGAGATGCCCTTAGAGCATCTCCAATGGAGGAGATTAAATGGGAGAAAGGGGAGAAATATGATTGAAGAGGAAGAAAGATTATTTTTCGGAGACAAAACTGTCCCTGGAAAAACGTGAAAAAGACACAGGGACCCATGGCTCGCAACACCACGCAAAGACGCGCATGGTGGGAAACTGCTTTATTTTTTTTTTAAAGCTTCGCATTACATTTTCGCCTGAAATGAAATTCATTCCACTCAACGGTCAAACAAATTGTCCTTTGAGTGTGTGTATTTGTTTTTTTTTTTTTTTTTTTTTTTAATTTAGTATATATATATATATATATATATATATATATATATATATATATATATTCACAATATTTGTTTACTTTTATTCAATTTTTTTTGTTTACTTTTCATAAATAATTATTCACAATTTATTTTTACTTAAAATTAAAATTATAAGGATAAAATGATTAATTATAGAAAAGTAAATAAAATAATAATTATTCACAATTTATTTCTATTTAAAATTGAAATTATAAAGTTAAATTTATTAATTATAGAAAAGTAAATAAAATAATAATTATTCACAATTAATTTTTATTAAAAATTACAAATTAACATTATAAGGTTAAAATTATTAATTATAAAAAAAAAAGTAAATAAAATAATATATATTATGTAGGAGTAAAAAAGGAGTAGGGTCCACAAAGAAGGGAGAAAAGATGAGAATGGTTGGAGATAGGGTTGTAAACGAGTCGAGCCAAGCACAAGCATGTGTTGGCTCGAGCTTGAGCTCGTTAAGGAATGCTCGGCTCGAACTCGAGCTCGACAATTTTTTAACAGCTCAAGCACCTTGATTGTTCGAGCTCGTGTCCGGGCTCGATGGGAATCCGTGTAGCTTCGTCCGTTCGTCGGCAGCAGCTTCGTCTGGTCCCGACTAGTCGACTATCGGGCAGCACTGCAGCAGCTTTGTCAGTTCGTCATCGGCAAAGGTGGAGACCGGAGACAACGGTCGTCGTTGTCGGCCGACAGTCTTCATGTGTCTTCGTATCTCGTCTCCGTGTCGTCGTTGACAGTCTTCCGGACTCCAGAATTAGGGCTTGAGGGGAATGATGGAGGGAGTCCGGGACTACGAGAGTACTGGAATAGGGTAAGCCTTAGAAGGGAGTAAATTTTTAATTAATAATAATAATAATAATAATAATAATAATAATATTATTATTATTATATTATTATTATTATTATTATTATTATTATTATTATTATTATTATTATTATTATTATAAGGCTCGTCGAGCCACGAGCATAGGATATGTGAGCTAAACACGATCTCGATAAGTAAATGAGCCGCTCGAGTTTGGCTCGAGTTCGATTTTGACCGAGTTCGAATCGAGCTTTGATTGACTTGCGAGCGACTCGGCTCATCTACATCCCTAGTACTTGGAGAGAAAATAAGAAAAGAGATAAGAGGATGATGTCCTTACACTATCGTACTATAAAAAAAAATGTATGGTACAAATTTGAAAATTTATAAAATAATGGGGCTAAAATGTATAAATATAAAAAGAAACTTGAAGTATTGATTCACTCCGGAGGAGTCAACTACAGTACATAACTTTCCGATAATTCTCACTTCTTCACCGGAAACCTCACAAAATTTTGTCGAATTTTTGCTCTGCGGAAACGCACGAGAATTTTGGATAGCGAACCTACCAGAAGAAAGGAGGGAAGAGAATTAATGGGTCGGAAGAGAGACAGAGCGTATCAGTCTCGCCATGTTCCTAACTCTTTCCCTAAGCGCCGCCGTCCTCTGCCGCCGCCGGTCGATGCGGACAACGCCGTGGCAGCGAATGATGATCTGTTGCCGGAAAATTCTACGGGGTCTGCTAAACTACCCACGACGGTGGTCGTTATTGGGCTCACGGCGGAGTGTTCGGTGTTAGACCTGAAGTCTCGGTTCGAGATCTACGGCGCAATCTCTCGCACCCGCATGGACCCCGGTGGGCTCGCCCACATCACCTTCCGGTCCAGAGAATCGGCGGTGTCCGCCGTGTCCGCCGCCGCTGACGCCGCTTTCCCAATTACCCTACATTCCGAACCAGTAAGCTCCCTCACTCCAAATTCCTCGTTACCCTACCCAAATTGCATAAAAATCAAATCTTTTTTTTTTTGTTAATTAATCCAAGTTCCACTTACCCAATTAGCATAAGAATCAAATCATTTACCCAAATTGCATAAAAATCAAATATTTTTTTTGTTTATTCACCCAAATTTCACTTACCCAATTAGCATAAGAATCAAATCATTTACCCAAATTGCATAAAAATCAAATCTTTTTTTCCTTTTGAATATCCAAGGGTAGGAGTGTAAAAGAGGTGAGCTCGAGCTTGATAAACAATAGATAGGCTTGAGCTCGAGCCAGCTCAAAAATTGAAGCTCCGAGCCGGCTCGAGCTCGAAGTTGACCGAGTGGTATATATATATATATATATATATATGGCTTGCGAGCAGCTGGACGAGCCACAAGCCTAAAACATTTGAGTCCGAGCTCGGTTTGATTACGAAACGAGCCGACTCGAGTTGAGCTTTGACCGAGCGGCTCGGCTCATTTACACCCCTATCCGAGGGTGTGTACAGGTTAAATAACTTAGGTTGTTTATAACTGACCAGCTCAAACTATCCGAGGGTGTGCTTGGGTTTACTCTCACCTTGTAATCATAGCTGGACCATAACGAGTTAAATTAGCTTAGGTTAGCGATAGCTAATCAGCCTCAAACCAAGATGGCCAATGGGTTGCTACTATTGGAAATCGAACTTTGGAAACTTGTGATTACCGAGCAACAACCTGACCAACTTGGTTGGGATTGTCCCTTACTCCCTTTTGTTTCAATTGAGCTATGTTTTGGTTGTTTAGTTTATTTTCTTGGTGATGATAGGTTCAAGTAATGTGGGCAAGTGATCCGGTGCCACAGTGGAAGGAAGGGGTGGCTAAGAACGAAGGAGCGATGGGAGTTTCTTCGAAGCTAGTTAGAGCAGAGGTGCCTCTCAGTAGGCATGGGAGAGGTAACAAGCTGGGATCTGCAATTGTGAACTCCAAAAACAAGCATAATGTTGATGCAAATAGTAGTGTTCAGAAACCGGGTGGGATTGCTTCTAGGTTGGGGGTGCCTTTTAACTGTTTTAAGGGCAGGGAGATCGTTGCTTACGATGATATTCTTTGATTTAGCTGGTACGGGTTTGCCATTGTTGTAAAACTATGTTTGCTGTTCTCGAGATTATAGTTAGATTGTCTCAGTATAGTTATGTGGTTTCCGACATTAAATTATGGGTTTATGTATGATGTTTCAGGTAAGTTCTTGTCCTTTTATTTACGTTTTACGTGGATTGAAGCTATAATTGTATTATTATGATCATAACTTGTTGAAATTGCACTTCCCCGATCTATGACTTAGCTGAGATTAATGCATTGCATATAGTTTGAGGTTGTTTTGTCCCAAAGGAGATTGCTTTTGCTAACCGAGTTTATAAGAACTGTTATTTCCCAATTGATACAATTTCTCTGAAGGGTTTCGGGTTTCCCTTGTGATTAGCTTCCTTCGAGATTCTTTGGGTGCAGGGGATATCGATGCAGTCTTTGTGCAGCTGGGCGGGTACTGATATGCAGTGCAGGACTTCTCGACAGGTTGGCCATTGGGAATTGCTCGGGTTCCGTTTCAGGTTTCTCCTTGATCTCCCTCGTTTTTTCGATTGTCATTAAAACTAGGCTTCTACTTATCGAAAAAAATTCGTTTCGAATACCTAATTCTCGACTCTTTGTGTTGTTAAAAGCTTAAACATGGACATAGTATATGCAGTGTAGTGTCTATTAGAAGTGTTCACAATTGTGTATTTACTTGCGAGTGAATGTACTTTAAGGACGCGTGTTTTTCTTGTTCTTTATTCTCGATGCATGATAAAGAATTGCACCCTAATCCTGAAAGTCCCTACCTTCCCTTGAAGCCTTGGGGGAGGGAGGTAAATTGCGGGATTTGCCTCCAAGTCCTCAACGGCCTACAATTTTCTCAAATCTCAATATCTTATTAAGGACCAAGTATATATGTACGCATTTTTCTCGCTCTTTATACTCGATTTATGATAAAAGGGTTGCATCCCGATCTGGAAAGTCCCTACCTGCCTTGTCTCGGAGCCTTGGTAGAGTTAGGTAAATTGCGGGATCTGCCTCAAGTCCTCAATCGCTCTTTGGAAATACCCAATGCAAATGGAGATTGCTCCAGTAGCTATGGTGGGTATCAAATTAGCCCAACCCAACATGCTATTTTCTCTATATATATAGATAAATAGATAATTGTATTTTGATTTCTTAAACACTCAAGTTTAATAATATTAGCAAACATAATTACATAAATGGTCTCATATTATTTGAAAATTCATAAAACACCTGTGACATTTAATGTATATTTTTTTTAAATACAATAAAGTTTGTAGTCACTATTCTGTGATCCTAACAAGTAAGGGATCATAAGGAATAAACTAATTCAGATTGCTCATAATCGATCAGATAGTTTACTTATTCTTGTCGATCAATATCCCAGAATTGACGAAACCCGACACATTTAAATTTTCAAACTGTAGGTCCTCATCCTCCAATTGTTCATTACTAAATCCTTATAAATTGTTTTCAAAAAAAAAAAAAAAAAATCCTTATAAATCAGTGACAATCTTGTGCAATTCTCACTAATTTTAGTTTTCCCACCCATTTGCTGTCTTTTCTTGTTTCTTGCTATGCTGTACAAAATTCTCAAAGGTTAGCATTTTCACGTATCAAATTTTTTTGCTATTTTGCATGAGTGAATTGATGCAGTGATACACTGATATGGGGTTACGTACGACTATGTTGAGTCATACAAATTCACACAATTAAACTAACAACTATCTAATTATTAATTTTAGCAAACAATTAATGCATTTTCGTAACACTCAAACATGGCAATTGTTAGCCACATTATTCATTTTGGGAACGTTATGCTGTGAGCACTTGTCCACCTTGTAAAGTGAGCACGGTTTCATATCCATAATTTATATATTGTAGATTCATAATTTCTATACTGTAGATTCATAAAATTTATACTTTAGATTCATAATTTCTAAACCGTAGATTCATAATTTAAATACAGTAGATTCATAATTTCTGTACTGTAGATTCATAATTTCTAAACTGTATAGTTATCAAATTATGAACATATAGTTCTCTGATTTGTGGAAACAGAGTTCAACAATTAGAATCTAAAGTATAAATTTTATGGATCTACAGTATAAAAATTATAAATTTACATTATAGAAATTATGGATATGGAACCGTACCCACCTTTCATGCTCACAGCTTAATTTGCCTTCATTTTGTTGCTAGTATATGTTAGGACTGATAGTCGTAGTCTACTAGGACTCTCCTTCTGTCTTCTATATCTCTATTGTACAGACCTTCTGTTACGTTACTTCTGATAATCCAATCCTCATCTGGTATCAGTTTTGTCCGGGTTTCTTCCATGGCAGATCTCAATGATGATGGTTCTGTTCGTGATTCTACAACACAAGCCAGGTCACCTCTGCAGACACATCTGCCAAGGCCTTGTACTCTACCTCTGTTGACGAGAGGGCCACTGTGCGTTGCTTGCGACAAAACCAAGAAACCAGATTACCACCCAGATAGACAGCAAACCCACTCGTTGACTTACGATCAGTCGGATTACCGGCCCCAAATATTCGTATAAATTAATTGCAAGACATGTGTACTAGACGAAGTAACACGGGGCAAAGGAAATCGGGAGGACTTCCCTAATTTACAAGCAGAACAAATGTTTGACAAACTACTAGAATTAAACGAACTAACACCAGACGATTGCAAAATTTGGCGCAAGACACGAGCATGTGGAGATTGACTACCACTTTGTTCGTGATAAAGTTTTCAAGAAGGAACTTCAGGTGCATTTTATTTCCACGAAGGATCAGTTGGCTGACATTTTCACTAAAGCGCTTCCGTCTACCCGGTTTGATTTTCTCCGTGGCAAGCTCAATGTTGCAGCTAGTCTACCTTGTGCTTGAGGTAGAGTGTTAGGATTGATAATCGTAGTCTATTAGGACTCTCCTTCTGTCTTTTATATCTCTATTGTACAGACCTTCTGTTACGTTACTTCTGATAATCCAATCCTCTTCGTATATATGGAGTAACATGTATGTAGGTTTAAGTCTATTCATTTAGGTGAATAATAAATGCATGCCCCTTTATGTCTTGGGTTTAATTTTTTAGGACGAGTGGACCCCGCCGTTATTTTTTCAGAGTGTGTATTGGGTGAATTTCACTTATGTATAATAGGTCTGTTAAATTATACAAGACAGATAAATTGTAGTAGGAGGACTCTATATTACGCAACGGACTTGATCGTAAGAGTGTTGGCAAGAATCAAATTTGTGACTTTCAAGTTTCAAGTATGAGAATCATACTACACCTTTTATTTATTAGGTTAATTTTTATTATTTGTTTAATATCAGTCACGTATTTTCTCACTTTTTAAAAAATAATTTTCTTCAAAAATAAGTTGGTTGTCGGCCACAACCATTATAACTTTGCACGCAACCATTGTGAGGACTAAGGGTGAACATTATATATTCTAAAATTTTAATGTATTTGAACATTTTAAATTATGGCATATTTAAATATAAGTTCAATATGAATCTTGAGTACTAAAATTTTATTTATATTCGACTTAAAACTTGAATTATTATTTATTATCTAGTTAAGGACACACAATTTTCTTCACAACATCTAATAAACGTCTTTGTACTAAACAGGCGTTTAAGAGTAAATTTTCAACGTTGTTGCATTCATTCAAATACTTTATCTTTATTTGTTATTTCAGATTTAATTAATTCATACCCTTTTTATTATTCCTAGTATATTTTATTAAAAATAAAAATATTATAAGCCATTATTTTTTAATCAATTAAATTATGTAACATAAGTTTAGTATTATTTAACATGGGGCACAAAAATCTGGCAACCTCTAGACGTGAGCCCTCTCTTTAATATAGCATCACCGTGGTCAACTTGCAGCTGCCAAACAATCAATGTTGTAGATACAAACTTATGAGTTGACCCAATGTGACCGATAAAACATAATTTTTGTATTTGAATATCACAAGTTTAATTTTTATAAACAATCTTTTGGTCAAGATATAATTGAAGAGTTTACCTTTTTAACGCATATGCAGTCTTATATAGATTTTTGTAGTGTAATTTACCCAGTGTTAGGGCTGGCCCTAGCTATGTGCAGCTAGCGCTACGACACATGACTCCTAATTTTTGAAAAGAATAATCTTGTTTGTGTTAATATGTACTTCTTTATGAAGTTTAGGATAGTTGCTTTCACAGGATTCGGACCGAAGAAAGATAGACTAAGCATGTGTTTGGTTTGAACATGGGATTCATAATTAGAATCTGAATCAAATACTTGGTAATTCTTTCAAAAGGTTGAACCCCAACCCTAAGGGCCCCCAACATCCCGGCCCGACAGAGCATCTAGGAGGATGTAAATCATGGTGACGATCATTCTTTCAAACTTTCACCTCTATGACCAGTTGAGCTACCCATGCGGACAATGTAAATACTTGGTAATTGGAATGAGTTTTAGTGAATATATTTTGCATGTTTGGTAGTACGGTGGAATTAATTAGAATGATTACCAATATTAATGTTTGGTTATGTAAGACCCTATAATCGGAATAAAGGTTTTAAAATTACATAAACAAAAAAATAAATCAATGCAATTGATCTTAAGAGTGACGATGAAGTGAGTAGACAATGCAGTTATAGAAGTCGATGAAGTAAAGAGAGATGTGGAGATAAAATGAGGAGAAGATAAAATGAGGAGGCGATGAAATGAGGAGGGATAATGATGAATTGATGGAATTATATTTGATTTAAATTAGGTAATGTGTTTTGTAATTATTAGGATAATTAAATCCTATATTTTTGTTTTAAAAAGTTATCAACCAAACAATATGTATAATTTTCATCTCATTCTTTGTGTCTAAACTCATGAACCAAACATACCCTAAGTTGGATATAGACTATTGTTGCCTTCCTAATTTAATGTGAAGGCAAGAGGAGGGGATTTATTATGGGATAGTACGTGGTAGAAGTTTGTTGTTGGGGTTTAATGGTATGTATTGGGACTCGTAGTGCCATTGAAGTGAGTTATGGTCAGTTCTAAGGTTGTTTGGGATAAGAGGCTTTCGCGGTTTGATGTCGGAATGTGGCTCTAATATGCATACATGCATGGGGAGTTAATTAGTTTGGGGTAGGGGTGTAAATGAGTTGAGTAATTCGGTCAAAGTTTGGCTCGAGTTCGGTCAATTTCGAGTTTGAGTCAACTCATTTGGTAATTGAGTCGAGGTTGAATTCAAATGTTTTAGACTCGTGGCTTATCAAACTGCTCGCAAGCCATACAGACAGACAGACATACACACAAAATATTATAGCGTGAGTCACTCGGTCAAAGTTCGGCTCGAGCTTGGCTCGATTATGAAACGAGTCAGCTCGAGTTCCGTTCGAGCTCGAAGTTGACCGAGCTCGAGCCGAGTTTTGACCGAGCGGCTCATCGCGCTATAATTTTTATCTTGTTTAATTACCATTCCTTTCTGATTAAAAATCCAATGCATCATAACTTAAGTCAGTTGAGGTACATCCTACAATTTACCTCCCCTGTACATCTTTAAGGCCTGAGCAGTGGGCTTTACGAGTATCACTATCTTAGACCTTGTGCGATGAGTTTAACCGAAAAAGTGTTGACAATAATCAAACCCATAATCTTTTGATAGAATCATACTTTACCCACTTTATAATCGCTTTTGAGTGTTTAAAGAATTCTACCTTTTGAATAAATTTATACCTCTAAATAAAAAAGTATAAATTTAACTTCGAAAAAATTCAAATATAATTCTCTCTAACAACAAATCAAATATAATTTAACAAATACTACGTAATAATATGCTAACACATTATCTTAATCTGAACAATTAATGAAAATGAGAGTTTAGGAAAAGGGATAATGCCCAAAATAGCCTATTGAATATGTCAGAATCCTTACATTGAAAGATTAAATATGAGTAAATTTTGTATAGTTGATGAGTAATACTAGACATACTCCAAACTTTTACTCCATATTTACGTGACATGTTTCGATTAATTCAATAAAAAAAAAAAAAAAAAAGAAGAGAGAGAGAGAGAGAAGTGGTCCACAACTTTTATTACTATCTTCAATGAGGTTTACTCCATGAGACTCCATATATAATTTTTATTTTGAGAACATTAACTGTTTAGAAAAAATTATAAGGTACTGAGATATGTACAAATTATTATTACCTGAATTATGATCCACACAGTTATGTGGATCATAAATAAATAAAAAAAAATACATTTTAATATATAAAAGTACATTATTTTTGTACGTAAAATACATTATTTGAGTACTGAAAGTACATTATTTTTATATACTATCAAATACAAACATTTAGTACATAAATAAAGTACTTTTAGTATATTAAAAATGAACATTATATTCATGGTACATACAACAATATAGATCATGATCCACACAATAATTTTTTGATATGTATTATGCCGGTTTATACTAGGTACAACCAAACAACATTTTTAATTGGGTGGCATCGAATGCTATAGGGACAAATGTTCCTATAATCTACAAATCTACAAACCTAATAAGAGCCAATAAAGTTAGGCCCCTAACATGAACTAAAAAATGTTGATGTAATTGTTTGTTGAAATGAATGGTTCATATTATTTTAATTTTAATTTTTTAATTATATTTTATATCTTATCGTATATTATATCATTTACTTTTCTTAAATACACATGCATCTGTGTAAACTTTATTAACGGAATATTCCAATCGATTTTTATAAAGAAGGTCTTAAAAATTTGGTCAATTAATTAGAATCACGCATTGGACATTGATGAAACGGTACACCTAACTTACAATAACTATGCCTATTATCATTGTCTTTTTTTGGGAAGGAGGACTTGATTATATTTTGAAGGTACACTGCGCTAAGGCACTAAAATTGCAATGAAGCACACCATGAGACTAGATCAAATCAAGAATTCAATTTTGACGAGAGTGGCAACAATAGGAAGTATGAATCACGCCAATTAATTGGGGTTTGTATTACAAAAATTATGCTTGGATACTATCCAGTGAGCATGTTTTCCTCTAAAACTGTTATTGCAACAGTTAATCCGACATTTCTTTTATAGTTATATATTCTTGAAATATTTACTTTTATAAAAAAAATTAATAATGTTACAATAATATACGACATGATATCGAATGATATCTTATAAATTCTGAAACACTAATTTAAAAATACACTTTAGACATTCAACAATCTGATATACTCTTGAATCACATCCGATATATATTAACACGGTATATCATATTATCAGTCAACGCGCGATAAAATTTTTCATTAATTGATGAACGAAGCTATTTTCATCAGGGACAGTTCGCCAAACAACTGTATATCATAAGATTATTAATATTAAATAAATACGTAATTATTTAAAAAAAAAAACGTAATTATGTGTAAGGATTAAGGAATTCACTGTATCTCCTTTTCCACGTCACATAATTTGGCTAATGATCATAAATGGGAATGCACCCATCCCATTTTATACCCCCACATTTATAATTTGTCACATAAAATTTTGGTGATCTTATAATATAATAAAAAGATGGGCAGCCTCCATTTGTTTGTATGCATATAAATTAAAATGTCACCTATTTAAAATAAGAAAACGTTGGTCTAAGTGAAAAGACTATGGTGACTTCAATATGATCGAGATTGTGAATCCCATTTGTATCAGAATTAAGCATATAATATATAAATACTTCCTCCGTTCCATTTTATGTATCTGATTCATTTAACAATACTTGACTGAAGTTATTTTTAATTTAATTTTTCATAATATTAAGTTTAGTATTAGTATACAAAATTTATATATTTAGAAATTACACTAAAAGTACTATTAAACACAAAAAATCAAATTTAAAAATAAGTAAAAAATACTAAAGAAAATAAACCAAAGAGAAAAAGTTTGTTTGGCCAATGAATAAGTAAGACAGATAAAATGAGACAGAGAGGTAATAAATATACTATTTTATTATTAAGGCTTACATTTCAGGGTCACTCGAATAGAAGAGATTATAATATGATCCATATGTTACTTGAAACCCATCAAGAGGTGTTGAACTATTAGCAACTTAAGTATTTAGAGTTTGAATCTCACACTTCTCGATAAAGAAGACTACAATCCAGAACCAATCATTGGACGTGTTTTGTATAGTATATAATAATATTCACTAAGAGCGTTTTGACAAGAGTCAAACGACTCGTGGCCCCAAGACAATAGTCTAGTGGATGAGAAGTCTCACTTTGCTTTCATTGGCATGATGGGGTTCGATTCCTACCACGAACATTGAGAGTTTCGGTTCAGATTGTGTTCATTGTGCGCAG